GCTCTTTAAAAGGGCCTGATTCACCTAGGAGGTATGCCTTTTTACCCTAGGACTCCTCTTTTTCATGTGGCTGACTGCAGACATGATGGTTAGAGGTTAGTTGCCTTCTTGGGACAATGAAGTAACTTCAAGGATGGAAGCCCCATGCTGAGAATGGCCAAGCAGAAAAACATCAAGAGTCTGGAGTCCCCATGAGCAAGATCCAAGGTCGTCTAGGTAGTAGGGACATAGCCAAGGTCTTGCCCACTAACTTCCCAGTTAGGGTGACCAGTTGGCCACTTCTACTTCTGGACTCCTGCTGCTGCTGCCAGGAGTAATTTGTCAACTGACCCTCTGTATTTGTATCCTTCTCTAGGACTCAGAGGCCCAGGTGGAAGCATCTGATTGGCTGATCTTGGGTCAGGGGCACCTTCCCCAGAGGGTAGAGAATACCTGGCCCTTTTGGCATCTATAGTGGGACATGGGCACTGCCTCCCACTAAGACCCACAACGAAGAAGTCCTCCCTGGAGAGTCAAAAACCGTGGGTCACATCCACTGTACCCCTATAGTAACTGATACATCTAGGAAGTTTTTAGCCTGGAATCCCTCCCTTGACCAGGTGAGCCGTGGCTCTTTCCCATTCACTACCAGGTGAATCAGGGAGAGAACACAGCACTTGGGGCTTGGCAGACATCCCTGCCTTTCCAGGCTTTTCTAATTCTGCATTATGCAGGTGCTTGTGTGCAAGTTCTGGGGAGGCCCCTTTCTTTGCTCCTGGTCCTCAGCACCCTTGGCTTTATCTCCACTTCATCTTAGCATCTCTCCCCAGCTCCCCCATCCCAAACCTGGCCCTTTACAACATCCAATGCACACAGGCTGTAGCATTCCTTCAAAGACTTCCTTTCCAGATGATCAGCCCATTCTTAGAGGGTCTAAGCCGGTTATTGCCCACCTAGTGCTGCCTCTTGGTGCAGATCAGTTACGAATCATTCCTGGGCCCAGTCATGCCTTGCTGAATCACTATGGTAAGATGTTGATTCTCATGCCCTGCCTTTAAGGTTTCTTTCCAGGTGGAGGTGGCAACATGCAGGACAGGAGACAAAAGTGTAAACTTATTTCATCTTGTCATGCTCATTCATGGAGCTGGTGGCCGGACACTGAATGGCTTTCAAAGAAAACCAGTGTCTCTGTGACTACTTGCCAGCACGATGCTCAAGGCAGCAGTAAGATGCGCTGTCTTTTCCTCCATCTGCCAGCTCTTACTCAAGTGCATCTAATGGGCAGAACGTAACTGGAGTTCAGAATCCCAGTAGGCAGGGGAGCCTCGGAAGTGCAGTACTTAGCATTCCAGCCTCAGTAGTTCAGGGAAGGAAGTGAGAATGTTCATGCGTGCCTGCTCACCACATCCTTACCTCCTGACGTCAATAGGGAACCCCACAGGAGACTGTTTGTTGACACCAGTCTGTGGGGTGTGGCCGCCCGGTCCCTGATGTTGAAATGTGTCAGCCAGGCACAGACCACAGATGAAGGTGCCTGGTGAAGACCAGCAAACATGATGATTTCCATCCACAGAAGACGGTAATTAGATGACTCTGGGCCTATTAGCCTGAATCATCTCAGCAAACTATGAGCCCAACATCCCAATATCTATAAGACTTAGAGTAGTTTTTCCGGGAGTGTCACAGGAGCATCATAAAACCTTAGCTGGAAGGGATGGTCCACATCTGTCTTACCACTAGACACGACTAACTGCTTCTTCTAGAGGCCGGTCCTAATATTCTGGACCCTTGCGGCAGAATCACATCAGATTCTTTTTCTTTTTTTGAGTTAAATTTACATAACATAAAAACGACCATTTTGAAGTGATCAATTCAGCGGCATTTGGTACAGTGACAATGTGGTACAACCACCTCCTCTACCGCGTTCCAAAACATGGCCATCACCCCCAAAGGGAATTCTAACATTCATTTATGCTTTAAGAATTTCTTTTAAATTTTAAAATCTTGAATCCAGGTAAAACCCTCTAACGTGTGAGCTAGAGGTTTAGCCCTAATTGTACTTGAGAGGGGTTATGGATTGAGCTAACATAATGTCTCGAATACTTTATTCTCCCACCAATCCCAAAGACCCCTTTGTCATTTGGTAAAATGTTAAATACCCTATGTCCCCGGCCTGCTTTCTGGCTCCTCATGATACTTTTTTCGTTTTCTTTATGGTAACAATGTTACAAAACAGGCGCCTGACGGTTCGGCACAGTCACCTCAGGGAGAATGTGAGCTACTCTTTTCATCCTTTTCGCTGGCGTGCGTTTCGACCCACTTTCAATTCTCGTGTGTCGCATCTCAAAATTCCTCTCGCCCTTTAATTTCTTTTATTCATCCACATTTTAAAAATTGCTTGGCTGTGCTAACTTGGTTAAATTTTCTTCTGTATTCCCGAATCTCTGCCTTGCTCGGCGGCTGGGAGGCGGCCCCGCATTCCCCAAGGAGGAAGTCCCGCGGAGCCCGGCTGGGGTGGTGTGAGGGTGAAGCGGGGAATGGGGAGGTGGGGACCATGTGGGATGGGCGGGGTGGGCGGAGCCTCCCGCGGGGGC